TTTTTTTTTTTTTTTTTTTTTTTTTTTTTTTTTTTTTTTTTTTTTTTTTTTTTTTTTTTTTTTGACATGTATGTACCACATTTATAATCATCCCAGATAATAAATTCATTTTTTTGGAAGAAGACTATATATTATCCTTCCAGTGCAATGTATTCCACTAACTCTCGTACCAATTCAATCGATAAACATTAAAAGTTTATCATCTTTGCATTTCTTTTCTTTACATATGAATAGAACATTAAAAAATTTAGTTGATAAGATTGATGTAAATGGCATATCAGAAAGTACCTCACAAGATTCCCATGTGCCGAACCCATGAAAAAGCATACACAGAAATTCGAAGCAAGCTAGTAATTAATAACAATATTTGAATGTAATGATCTACGAATGTGCAGCTCATCAGTATAAGATGCATGACCATAACAAGTTAATTTACTGTAAAGCAAAGCCTCTCTACCCCACGAGGACACAACTGGTCCATGCACCTAAAGGGAATTTTCCTTTTTCCCACCTTTCCGTCTTTTGTAATTGGGCCATGTTTTTTTGTTGTTCTAAGCTTTGTAACAATACCATCCCTCTATACGAATACTGGACTGTGACACTATTTAGATCGCTACAATAGATATATTTTTATGTTTTTTTTTCCAGGGTTAATTTTAGATTTTAAATTTTAAATTTTTTTTATTCCTAATAATTTAAGATTCGATCGTGTGAAATTATAACTCTCTCGTTGTGATGGCTTCTTCGAATAATTTTTCTACTTTTCCATAGTGGAGGTTAGACAAACCACTTCTGTTTTCTATCTCACAATGGACGATTCTTTATACGCATATAAAACTAGAAAGGTAAAAGCTAGCCAAGTTGCTCTATAAAGTTTGTGGTGTATCGTTCATGATTGAATTTTGCAAATTAAATACTTCCTCCCAGAATCCCTTGGATGATATCTACAATTATAATATAAGTTGATAAACGTAATGTTAGAGAAGCTTTGTAATTAAATAAAACTTAATGCTTGGTGGCTTTTTTGTCCTCCAAAATTCGAACACTCTTGTGAAATGGAAAAGTAATTATAGGCCTACCTCCTACAATATATGTCTACCTATGAAGTTGACGAATAAAAATACTCACTTAATGTCAACGAAAATCTAATTTTTATCCCATTTTGGACACCCTCTATTCTTCTTATTCCTAATTTACGGAAAGAAAGTGATTCATTTCCCAACTTTGGAATAAATATTCAAGCACTTTCTGCTTCACTTAGAAATATTCTCGTACATACTCCCCATTAAGTATTAATGACGATAAAAGATTATACTTATATATAGATATATATACCATAAGTAGAGGGACCTACAACTACAACTATACGTGCACATATTTTTCAGATGGAAATTGGGAAGTGAGTAAATGAGATAAAAACGAATTGGTAAAAAGTAACGAGAATATCTCGATCTTACCTCATGGCAGCCATAAAGAGGAACATGAAGAAACAAAAAGACTTGCCAGCTTGAAGGCTGAATGGTTAAAGGTATGCATACAACTGCTCTTTTATCTGGAATACAGCCTTTGTAGGGGACACCTTTTGATCCAATCTCGACAATATGAGGACCACCAGATCACCACTTGGCCTCTCGTAGCTATCATTGAAAAAGAAAGAGAAAAAAAAAACTGATTTAGAAGTCATTCTTGTTGAAGTTAAAATCAAGATGAACATGTTTGAAGTTAAAATTGTTCAAATCATAACTTTAATTATTGAAAATCAACTTAGTATTTATATTTACACTCTTAAACACGATTTTTATGGAATAAAATTTAATTTGGATGCCGGCTAAACATTAACAAAAATGAATAAAGAAAATATGAAAATGGAGATACACTCGAAACGCGTCTTTAAATTTATGAATTTTTTTCTAGGGGAAATATGATGCAAGCAGATTAAGTCATGCAAAATGCTCGAATTGACATGCCGGCGGCAGGACCATGTAGCCCACGTGATAGCAAGTGGGTGAAGGTAGGAGTTCTAAGCTTGAATTTATGAAATAATGACTGAGAAGTTGAGGGATATTCATACAGTTGCATCTAGGTGGTCCTATTGAATAGAAGTTACGTTAATTATCAAAGCTACAAATTCGTGCTCACTGTGGTATTCAAATATTAATAACAAGCTTGCTCAGAAATCCAACAATAATCAATCTAATATATTATACGTATATATTTGCAAAGTGATGCCTGATCAGTCTAATATAATAGATAGTGATGGTGCTAGTATATTTGACAAGTAATATAGCCTTATCTCTCCTGTCTAACCTTTTTTTTTCTTTAATTTAACCATAGTGTGAGGGTAGGGTGGAAATTCAAACTTCAATTATATGTTTAACGAGTTTAGATTATCTAATCAGAAATATATAGCATTTTGACTAGATAAATGAAAAGAGTACCCATGAAATAAATGAGGTAAACCTATTCATAAGCCACAAAAACAAAAAAAAAAAAACAAAAAAAAAAACCTTGCAATTTGTAGAAATAACCACGTGTGTACACATTTTGGAACATATAGTTTCGGGATAGAAAGCAAA